TCTCCGGTAAAAGCAATGCGAATGGGTGTGCTATTTTATATTATCTTTTAATTCTATTTACCTATCAATCAAATTGCGATGAGTTTAATTGAACTTTAACAGTCAAAATTGTGTTAATTTAATTGAAATCAAATCAACAGAAAATGACACTGCCTAGTCGATATTAAAAAAAAGGCAAAGTCGAAGGCAAAATGTTGTATAATCTATCTTTTGTTATTTGTTGAGTAATTATAATTATTAATTATTTTCGTTTTTATTTAATAATAATAAAAATCCATCGTTTATCGATTATTATATGGCACCTTATTTTCTTATTAGATATACGACAGAGTCTTATATTTCTGAGCTTGATTTTGTTGATATCCTATATGAAGATAAATTTTTTCATAATTAACTAATTTGTTGTAGTTCATGATCTCAATTGCCTATGAGAATATTTTATGAGTTCATCAATGAAAAATAATATCACGAGTATTTTCACATTGGTTCTTCTGACATGCAGCATGACAATATCACGAAAGATAAACGATCAAAAATACGGTAAGACACATGGCTTTTTTAATAGAAAAGAACTTCATAAATGTTTCTTTTCTCATTCTCACTGAAAATATTGAACATATTTCAAAATTTTTATGATTCATTGGAAATTAACATAGATATTTGGTGAATCGATGAGAGTAGAAGAATCACTGGTGTGATAAAAGAAAGCGAGAAAGAATTTAGGAGTGACTACTAGTCACTTTAAATTTTTTTATATCATAGATAGATGTGTGACAATTTCATGCCAACTAGCTGCACGAATTTCAATCATCGGACTCTTCACCTGAACGAAATCTGATGATCAGCTCTCTGCATATGAACTGAGATTACTAAACACTTCATTTTATCATATGCATGAAGACTAATAATATTTCCATTTTAAGATCACGTCAACTAAACTGCAAATTTGTGCTGAGAAGGAGTTGTAACAAGTATAAATAGGTAGGATAAAAAGAAGTGCTCACCAAGTCATCTTATATGAAATGAGCTAATTATAAGATTCAACTCATACGGCAAGAGTTAGTCATTAGAGACTCAACTCATGTAAAAAAAAACTAGATGATCCAAACCAGTTCAGTTAATTAGTACGAAACTGCCACACGTCTCATCAATAAATAATTGATAGTGTTTCTAGAAAATTCGATGATTAAAATAAAAGATATGAATTTTATTTTGTCAATATCATTAACACATAGAATTTGCCAATCCTCAAATGCGTTTGATGTACTGATTTGTTTTAATGATCATTTATTGAATCTTTAGTAATGAAACTTAAATAACAGATATTGATTTTTAGAAATATCAACATCTTTCTGATTTTTTTTGAGATACATTGAAATTTTTTGTATACTGACACTTATGAACTTCGTTCATCATATGCAATGTAGGTTTCCATCACTATAATCTTTTGTTTTATTTTTCTTTGATCTTAATTTTACAATGATAATTATTCAGCAAATGCATTACTGATTTTTATTTTTGGTTATCGGTTATTAGGACAACAACAATGTTTATTTTTTATGTTCAGTACGTCGACGATGTTTATTTTGTTCTCCTTTCCATAATTTTTCATTTATAATCATTTCAAGTTCATTTGACTGATATTCATTATTATCTTCATTTTCTTGTTGATCTTCTTTATAAATATGTTTATTAAAGAATGGTGTTTGTTCTATTTGTGAACCACGTAAATGAATTAAATATTTAAGTAATGGTGGTTGTCGAAGATGAATACCAAGACCATCCGGTGTCATTACATCAAATACTACATATTGATCACGACTACATTGAACACTAGCCCAACCTAAATTTAAAATTGTTATTTGAAGATAATATTTGTCACGTCTACCATAAAAATTACGGAAAAAAATAGATTGATAAGACAAACTAGAGTAGTAGTTAGAGATGTACCAGCGTCTGTCTTTTTTGTCAACACAAGTCGTGACTTCATTTATTCAGACTATGAATTTATTAAAAGGAATGGATACGTTTAAAAGTTAAAAGTGTTGAATGTTGTCGTTTTTTGAAGAGAAATCAACATGAAGATCTAACTCAGGATACAACCCTATATCTAATGTAAATCTAATAAAAATATACATACCTGCTGATGATAAAACAATATCTCCAGCAGCTTCTTCTTCTCCAATGCCAAGAATTTCAATAGTTGGGCCAATAAGTCGAGGCGGATCTTGAAGACGACCATTTATTCGATTTTGCGGTACCTAAAGAAAAAAAATCCTGCGTATTGCGATATAAAGCAAAAAATGACTGCTAACTCCAAGTTGATTTTTTTCCAGAGCATTTTCATAAAATTTTTCAACATCTTTTGTTTGTATCACATTAATTGGCAAACGAGATGTTGTCATTAATGAAATAGTTGCTTGACCATGATTTGTAATCTAAAAGAAAGAATAACAATATATATATGATAAAACAAAGAACAAGAATTTACATGTTTAACATCAATCCTTGCAACACCACCAATTAATATTGTTTGTCCAACATCTAATAAAATATTCACCGGTCGAATAGCAGTTGATTGATGATCAAAAAATGAAAGTTCTGTTTGATTACTACATTTATTAATCATCTTCAACAAAAAAATTAATTAAAATTTAATGAAAAAAACAAAAGTTTCTTTTTACTTGTTCAGGTAAAATAACTCCCGGTGTATCAAAAAGCCATTTTTCATTTTTATATGAACCGGGATTAAAAGCTCGCATTTTCTTTTGTCGATAATTTATATAATTATGTTCACTTGATTCGAATGAACGATCTTCATTAAAAGAATTTTCACCAGATGAATATGTATATGATGCACCACTTTTTGGTAAATTCATTTCAGATTCAAATCGACGACGCCATTTTACTGTTGATTCAACATTTTCTAAAATTTTATCTTCAATATCTTATTCATTGAAAGACAAGAAAGCGAAACATACCGGCAGCAGTTGTTTCATTTTCAATTGAATTATCATCATCATCATCTGGAATAGTTTCGTTTTCTTCTCGTTCTTTCAAGCGTTCTTCACGCATAAATTGATTTTTTCCAGTTCGTAATTGAATTGGAAAACGAACAACATTCATTGTTGTACCTAAATAAAACAACACTAATCATAATAAATTTTTCAATAAATATTTTACCAGGAAGATTTGATACAGTCGCAGGTTGAATACAATCAAGTGCATGAATATGACAAAGATCAGAATCAATAAGACTATTAAATAAACTACTTTTTCCGGCATTTGTACCCCCGAGTAGATAAGCACCACCTAGTATTTTATATTACAGTACAGAAAAAAGACAAATGAAAACAGCAAAGACAAACCATGTTGTGACCAATAACGAAATACTTTGGAAATTAATTCTTCAATACCATATCCAGTTCGAGCACTGATTAAACCATAATATTTAACTATATGTTTTCCTAAACCACGTTTTGTACATTCATTTTCAAGACATTGACGAACATTAGACAAATACGTTTCATTGTCTAAAATAAATTTATTATTCGTTTGAATAGATTCTTCATCGAATCTTTGATAAGTTTACAAAAAAAAAGTTCATTTTCTCAATTAATACTAATTCATTATAAATCGATCTACTAAGTAATAAGATACCTGTATTAATCTGCGTCTTTATATGATGAAAATTATGAATATAGTAAAGATCTATGGAAGATTTTTTTTCTAGGTACTACTTTAAAAAAAAAACTTGCCTTTGGGTAGTAGGTCAACTTTATTGCCAAGAACAAATATAATATTCGATGAAGTATGATGATTTTTTGCTGTTTCATCAATAAGATGTGCCCATAATCGACTAATTGAATTTGGTATATCAAGAAGATCGACAATTAAAATAATTAAAGCACGTTTTCGTTTTATTTCTGTTAAAATATCTTTATAAACTTGTTCGTTAACTTCACAATGTGATATTTCATTTGTATATTTAAAAAGAAAACATCGTTGACATTGACTTGTTCGTTTTTGTAAGTTTGTTGAAAGATAATGTTTATAGATTTCAACTGGTACAAAACCACTTGAATATATATATGTGAAAAAATAAATAATTCTATCAAAAACATAATAATAATTTCTTACGGCTTAGTTTTATCAGCACATTGAAGTGATGCTCCACAACCAAAACAATGAGCTGTTTCATGAATAGGTATTGTTGTATCTTCTGTTCCTAAATTCATTTGAAAATGATTTTCTACAGATGGAAAAGCAACAATAGGTGGATGAGGTAAATCATCTTCATCTTCATTTATTGACAAAATAATATCATCTTTTGGTATTTGTGAAAGAAGATTTTCTGCTCGACCTGTTGTTCGTGAATGTTGTCGAACAAGATATTTTTTATTTTCAGATAATTGACCACCAAAACGAACAGCATATGATGGATCTTTAGAAAGTATTTGACGAACTACAGGTGAGAGATTATCTAATGAAACAGGTTTTGTTTCAGTAATAATATGTTTTTCATTAGTTAATAATGATTTAGAAGAACGACGATTTGATCGAAAACGACAAGCATTAATTTTAATAGATATTGAACGATGAAATAATGATATTCTTCGAAAATTTAACATTTTTAGTGGAAAAAAATTATTGATTTCGAATAATGAATGAATCATTCAACGTCAATCAATGGTTCAAATAAATAACCATTATGAATGTTGATGTATTAAAACAAACTTAATTTTCATATTTCATATAGAATCTTCATAAAATATTTCATTAAAATCCAAACAGAAGAGAAATATATGCATAATGATTACTGAAGAGAGGTCGCTACAAACATTTCAAAATTCTGTCTCACTCTTATCGAACAGAAAAAATAATTGTTCGCTGCGAGTCTTTATAAGTGTGTTACCCTAGCCATATTTCTTTCTCTTATTTTTTTTCTGTCTTCTATAATAAAAAATAGGTTAAACTTGTAACTTTTTTTGCTGGTAAATATGTCTGCATCAGGTGTTAAAGTTGGTATAAATGGATTCGGTCGTATTGGACGACTTGTATTTCGATGTGCACTTGAACAAGGTGTTCAAGTAGTCGGTATTAATGGTTAGTATTAGATATATATTTTTTTTCTTTTTATATGTCTATCAAAATATGACCTTATAGATCCATTTATTCCTGCTGACTATATGGTTTATATGTTTAAATACGATTCAACTCATGGACGTTTTAAAGGTGAAGTTTCACATGCTGACGGAAAACTTATTGTTAATGGAAAAGAAATCAGTGTTTTTACTGAGTAAATAATTGAAATAAATAAATTTAAATGTTCTATTTATTTTTATTTTTAGAAAAGAACCATCAAAAATTCCATGGGGTCAATTAGGTACGTTTTTTCACTTGACCTTGTATAATAAGTGATTGATTGATTTCTTTTCTTTCTTTGTTTTTTTTAAAGGTGCTGAATATGTTGTTGAATCCACTGGTGTTTTTACAACTGTTGAAAAATGTCAACCACATATACAAGCCGGTGCTAAAAAAGTTATAATTACAGCACCATCAGCTGATGCTCCTATGTTTGTTATGGGAGTTAATGAAGATAAATATACTGGAAAAGAAACAGTTCTATCAAATGCATCATGTACAACAAATTGTTTAGCACCACTTGCTAAAGTTGTTCATGAAAAATTTGGTATTGTTGAAGCTTTAATGACAACTGTACATTCCTATACGGCTACACAAAAAACAGTTGATGGACCATCAAATAAAGTAATAAATTAAAGAAGAAAAAAAAAACAAAATTCTATTTATATCTATTTTATTTTAATAGGATTGGCGTGGTGGACGTGGAGCCGCACAAAATATAATTCCATCATCAACTGGTGCTGCTAAAGCTGTATGTTTATTATTGATTTTTAATATATATATATAAGAAATTTTTTTTTTTTTTTTGTTTAACTAGGTCGGCAAAGTAATTCCTGACTTAAATGGAAAATTAACCGGTATGGCTTTTCGTGTTCCAACAGCCAATGTTTCAGTTGTTGATCTTACTGCTCGATTAAATAAAGGCGTAAATAATATTTTTATTTTTATTTGATTTATTAAATTAAATTTATTGTTTTAGGCTAAATATGAAGAAATCTGTGCTGCAATTAAAGAAGCTGCTAATGGTCCATTAAAAGGTATTTTGGCTTATACTGATGATGAAGTTGTTTCAACTGATTTTATTGGTGACACAAATTCATCAATTTTTGATGCTAAAGCCGGTATTTCGCTCAACGACAACTTTGTTAAACTAGTTGCATGGTAAAATTTTATTTATTTAACTGGTTTTTCTTTTTTCCATATGAAATACAATGTTTTTTTATATTTAGGTATGACAATGAATATGGTTATTCAAATCGTGTTGTTGATCTTATTCGATACATTGCCAAGAAAGATCATGGAAAATAAACTTGAAAAGTACATTAAATGTTCATGATCATAAACAATTAGCTTTTTTTTATGTAGTTTAACTTTCTTCTTGAATTCAACCCTTACCCTAGCAGAAAGATGTTGCTATACACCACCCTACTCTTCTAGTTTGTATAATTATTTTTATTTACTTGTAAGATGAAATAAAAAGAATCATACTTTTTTTTGCTTTCCTTCAGAATAAATTTAGATGTATACTTATGGTACATGATTAAATTTAGTCAAAAATGTTTTGTTGTTTTGAGAAAAGAAAAAAAACAAGTTGTGTGCTTTTTCAATAACATCCAGGTGAAAAGAGAAAAGAAATGCATTATGAAAATGATTCAAAATCATCAATTTTGTAGGTCAATGAATTGTAGAACTTTTTTTAAAATGTATTTATACTTTTGAATAAGACTATTTAAAAAAAAGAGTTTGTTGATTAAACACTACATGGACTAGAACATCGCCAACATTTATTACAATCTTTATCTTCTAAACAAAGAATTTTTTCATTTGATTTTCTTGTATAACACCATTCAGGACCAGTTAAACATGGAAAAGCACCAGTACATCCTGCCCAACAATAATCTTTATAATATTCAAACTATTCTGTACAGGTTTTAGCAATGGAATATATTTTCGACTTTTATCAATAACTGAATTTATTTGTCCGGTTATTTGATTATTGATTTCAAATATTGTAGAATTTATTAGTTGATATGTTCGTTTTTCAATTTCATTGATTGAACAATTTCCACGATATTCAATTGATATGCTCGACGATTGATATGTTCAATAAATAAATAAATAAATAATTATACTAATTACTAATATCAGTATACTTATTTTTGTATGTTTTATTATTTATTGGTTTTCTTTGAATAGAAAGGTCTAGAGCTTATTTCTATTCATATATAAATACACTTTTAGTCCATAATCATCTGTTATCAATACACACCTGTGATGACGTCGTTCTTATTTGTTTATGACGACATACAACAAGATAAAAGGCGTGAGTGTGAAGAGAGAAATATATACGTATGTGATAATAATTCAATAAATCATGGTACAAATACAAGAATAGATTAATTATTTTTTATGTTTTCTATTCTTTTTAGTCAAAATAAAAACTCTTTAAAGAGGATTCGTTGTATATGTGTATCGATCCAATTATGATCTCATTCAGTTGCCACACATTTCGAATTTTTTCTGTAACAAGATTAAACTTACAAATTTTTATATAAAAAAATGAATATAGAATAATCGGTTGAATTATTTTTGATTTTGAACATATTAACTTATGCTAAGAAATACAGTAAAACCTCCCATAGTGAACACTCCGCGTTCCGACGGAGTGATTTTTGCTGGAATTGGACCTCTCTATAGTGGACACTTTTGAGAAGTTTTAAACAATGTCAACTAGAGAGTTTTCCTGTATTCTAACAATTATTGAATTTTCTGTTTGTCAAGAACAAAAGTATATGAGGAGAGAAGTAACAATGAGCACTAATCAGTTATCTTATTCGCTAACATCCTTCAAATTCTTAGATAACGCGTCTACTTCTTCGAAAAACTTAGCTTCTACAAAAGACCTAACCTCCCTAGAGTGGATACTTTAAAAAAGTCCCATAGGTATCCATTATATGGAGGTTTTACTGTAAAACAAATATATTAAATCGTCTTAGTAAAAAGAAGAAAATTTTTAGTTATGACATAGCCAATGTTATCAATGCTGTTACTCAACGAGAACGCATTAAAAAAAACCAAATAAGATATTTTGAATTTACAACATGACATAAGAATAATTTAATAGAGAAGATAAAATATTCTATGATATGGATCTGTCATCCTAATTATCAATTCATAATTAAATGCAACAGACTAATCTTTATGACGTATGTCATTACGTCTTATTAAACAAAATCACCATTTTTACCTACAATTTCCTCTTGAAGTTTGTTAATTTGAATCAGCAGAAATGTTAATAATGAATTTCCTTCGTTGTTCAACCTATCTTAGAATAAAACACATTATAAGAAGAAGAAGAGTAGAATTTCTTAAGCAAAGAAAAATAAAAAGTAATGAATAAAGTTCAACAAATTAATGGCATCTCTGACAAACTAATCAAATTTGTTCTAATCTAGAACATCACATGATTATAATCAAACAAAAATAACCTAAATATATCCAACTAATTGTATCTATTTTAAATGTACTAAATAACGAAGAAATAGTAAAAACAAATATAATTAGACAATTATTAGAATTCGACAAAACAAGAATTAAGAATAAATATTGCTCTACTTCATGTCAAGAATTCCCTATTGAATGAACAATTAGTGCAGATGTCAAATGATAATATCATGAATTAAAAACAACTTTTGTTTGTAGTCCTAAACTAATAATCAGATGGTGTCATCTATATGATGAATGAGAAATTATAGTGAAAAGTACCAACTTGTATATTTGATTGGTTTAGTTTAAAAAAAGAAATAAATATCAAAGTGTAATATTTTTTGCTTTAGCTGATCGGTTTTGTTGCAAAAGAAAAGTAAAAAGAACAGAGACAAAAAAAAAGTGTATATGTAAAAGATTTGAATAGATATTCATATGAATGTAAAAGAATTACGTATTTATCCAATAAAATCCTGTGGTGGAGTTAAAGTTCAAGAAGCTTTGATTACAAGATATGGTTTAGCACTTCCTTCCGATTCTCGAATCTATGATAGGTAAAATAATTTCAAATACTTATCTTTCAATTTAAATTAATTTTAAAATAGACGATGGATGATTGTCAAAAATGGTCGACATTTATCACAACGTGTTTTACCTAGAATGGCGCTTATTCAACCATCATTTGTTAAAGATGGTCTTTTACTTCAAGCACCTAATATGCCTGATTTATTTATACCGATTAATCCATTACCAAAAGAAATAATGAATTGTTAGTAAGTCAATTATTTTTTAAATATGTTTGTTTTTTCAATAAATTAATTGAATACATATAGTTGTTGGGATGAACCAATATTTGGTTTACGTTATGATGATAATATATCTCATTGGTTTCGAACATATTTTCAAAGTGATGATAAAATTGATTTAGTTATATTTGATGAAAAACAATTTCAAGCGCGTTCAAGTCAAAATAAACCTGATTTTCCTAATGTAGCACAAGATCATGATGTTAGTGTTTATCATGATGTTTGTCCAATACATTTATGTTCACTAGAATCTGTTGCTAATCTTAATACACGATTAGAAAAGAAAATTAAAATATATAATTTTCGACCAAATATTATTGTAACCAATGGAGATGAACCATATGCAGAAGTAAATTGAAATTGAATGAATATACACATAGGCGGCGCGCCAGCAATGCAATAGTTAGCAATTGCAACCCCTAAAATAAATTATTGGAATCAATAAGAACTTATTGCTTCCTCTAATTTTTCACGCTTCCTGTATATTCTAGAGTAAAACTTTTTTATTCAGCATATATATATTCGATGTAATTCTGTATTTTATACATGAAGATTGAATTTTAGTCTCAAGAATTGTTTATTGCTATCCTGATGTATCTGTTTCCCGCAATATATATCGAGTGTCCCATGATAGATGGCTAATTTTTCTATTTCATATTTTAATCTTTAAATACATTTTAAAAAAGCATAGAAAATAGCACTAAGTGCAGCGTAAAGATCTCTGCAGCTACAAAGGAAAGCTTATTTTAATTATATACTTGATATTTTTTGAAAATAAATGGAATTCTGCCCAATCAATTTTCGACGCTGCATAGAACGGTCTCACAGAATCTTGGTTCTTTTCAAAACAAAAAGTATACAATTAAAAAAGCTTTACTTTGTACACTGTAGAACTTTTTACGCTACATCTTGAGGTATATACGATAAAACTAATTAGACGATAAAACTAATTAGGCGATAAAACTAATTAGGCGATAAAACGATGAAATAAGAAAAAAATGATTTGTTCATTGGAATAGAAAAATGATCTTTTAGGTACAATGGAAATTATTCTCACGGAATTTTGCTTTTTTTTAAACAAAAATTACACAACCCTTTACTTTGCGGATTGTTGATCTTTTCACGCTGCATGTTCTGGTGTATTATACTTTTCTAAAGAAAACATATTAAGAAATACACAGATGAAATAAGAACGAAGAAATGGTTTTTTGACACCTTCGAAAAGTGGTCGTATAGAATTTTGTCTTTTTCAAAATCAAAATTAAACAACCAAAATCGGTCTTGCTTTGTGAATTGTAGAGCTCTTCACACTGCATCTTGTGGTATACTCGGTTTTTTAATAAAAATTTTTAAAGATTAAAATCTGAAATACAAAAATCGGCCATTTATTATGGGACATCCGTTTGAACGAGATTATGAAATTGATATTGATGCTATTGGAACTGCTTTTCTATCGAAAAAAGATAAAAGAAAAACATTTTTTTGAAAATGAACAAAACAATTCTATATCATTCTTGGATAAGAATGTATTTTTTTCTATTACTAATAAATATTTGTGAACATTCAATAGTGATTGAACACTAAAATTGACGAAGTAAATGTACTCGATAAAAAGTGCATATACTAATTAAAGCGGGTTTAATGTACTACTAGAGAAATTAATGCTCAAGTTTTGCATACAGTACATTCGAGAAGTTCAGTTCTCATGAAAGCAATTTTTTGCCTCGGATTAAACAAGGGAAAAAAAGCAGAGCTCCTTTAACAGTTTATTGCTACCCCTACAAAACTGACCTTGCGCCGCCCATGAATATACATGAGAAAAATGTTTGGTTAATGTTTTTTTTTTCATTGTAGGATTGTTGGAGAGAAATTCAAATTGGTGAAGTGAAATTAAGATGGATTTCACCATGTTTAAGGTTTATTATCATTTTCTTTTATCTTTATTAATAAATATTTTGAATTTTAAAGATGTCTTTTGCCAACAGTAGATCAAGAAACTGGTATTAAAGATCCAAATCAAGAACCTTGGAAAACATTGAGAAGGTAACTTTATATTTTTATTTCGTAAGAAAAAAATAAAAATATTCTTATTTAGTTATCGACTTCAACCTAATTCATATGGTGTCAAAGCTTTATTTGGTATTTATTTAGGACAAATCGATGATTCAAAAATTGTTTCGGGAACTATACATGTCGGTGATTTAATTCATGTTATTAAACAAGATCTTGATTTTTGGGAAAAAAATGATTAAACGTGTCATATCTAAACGAAATTATAATTTGAAATCATTATTGAAAAAACAGTTTTCATTTTCTGACAAAAATATTTGCAATATTTTTTGTTAAACTAAAACTTTTTTAGTCATGAAATTTATTACTTAACGTTTTATTTTATTCATTTATTAAAAAAATAGATTTACGAAGTTTTTGACTGATATAAAAGGTACATGCAGACTTATTTCTAGTTCCATTGCATACTGTTCAGAGATAGATATAACTGTAAATAATCACTAATCAAAATGTAAACATTCTAACAACAGGTAGCAGTGGCGGATTTAGGGAGAAGGGGGGAAGGTGATTGAGGCCATCGTTCCTGGTCCAAAACAAAATTTTCGGTTTTTTCCAGCAGAAAAGTCTTTAAAATAATCTGATACTACGTTCTATGATCATAATCGCTCCTAGTCCTCTCCACTGAAGCACCTCTAGTCACAACGAATCACCCCATACCATAAAAATTCTAGATCCGCCATTGATAGGCAGGATTATAACATGATCAAGGGTTTCTTGTTTTTATTGATACCTGATGGAAAAATATGAGAAAAACTTTTGACATTTTGAAGAATCATTTCTAATCGATCAATTATGAGATTTATAATATATGAAAAAACTTGGCCCCTACTGTGTTTTGTTTTTAATTAACACCAATCTGTGTAGGATTGTTTACATCTTGTACTAAGTGAGTAAAAAAGACTTAACTGCTGAATTTTTCTTTCATTGAGTGTTGTTAATTCTGGTCGATGATATAAAATATCTTATAATCTGAAGACATCGAATGAATTTGAACTTTCGTTATCGTTTCTTATTTATCGTCTATAATTAGTAAATATAAATACGATTTATAGAAAAATCTAACAAAACTCTTACAATCAAAGTTATTTGATTTATATAATATGAAACAATGAAATGTATAAATCAATGACCATGAAACCCAAATAAACAACGTATAATTTTCAATTCTTATAACTATTTTCTATATTCATCTTTTCTGATTAATCAAAATAATTGACTGATATTTCTTTTCTAATACATAATCTTGTAAATGTGGATCATTTAAAACACTTGCACAAGAAAATTGGACGATACGATAGTGTAATTTTGCAATACTACAAAAAAAAGTATTAAAATAAGGTATACATATGCAACCGATTGCATAGACATAAATTTCAAAAAGAATCAAAGATAAAAGAACATCGAAGAAATTTCGACGTATCTTTTTAAGGAAATGTAATCTGCAAATGTTTTAAACTTATCCGCTCAATTAAAAGTAAGAGTAAGATTTGAATTTTTCATTACAATAGATAAGAAAAGCAATAAAGTAGATATGATAAGTATTGTGATATTTGAATATATCGTAGAAAAACGAAAGCGAAATTATTTTGTACTCATTTATCCAACAGTTGTAGAATGTCTATCAAGTAGAATTCAGAATTCTGTGGACTTATGTATTTTTTTAAAATGAGTTGATTATCATACACTAGAATTCTGTTTTTATCTTCTTATTTCTCCATAGAATTCTATATTCCACAACAAAAATTTTACACAAGACATCAATCAAAGAAAACTACTATTCTTTTCTAGTCTATTTATATTCTGTCACGAATTTTGTAGAATTCTGTATTATCAAAGACAAAGTACTCCGTTCTCGTCTATTTAAATTCTTCATTAGAATTTCTTTTGTGTTGGAAGTATGCATTACTAATATGGGCATTTGAAGTTTGTATTCTATTACTGATAATAGAATTCGATTTAAATTCTGCTGGCTTTTTAAAATTTCTTGTGTGCTGGTCGCAGCCACAGCTGCTCCTTAGATTATATTCGTCGTTTTGTACACTATGAAATTCTGTTTGTTTTTTTTTCAATTCTTAGCAGACGTTTGTTGTGGAGGGTGGAGAGTGCTCATGACTGTGTGTTGGCTTCGGCTATTAGGAATAGAATTCTGTGAAAATTCTGCTGTAATTTTTGAATTCTTAGCAGAAGTATGTTGCTTGACGGGGTAATGGATTAGTGTGATGTTTAGTAGTTTATTTGCTAGTAGGAATTTATCTTAGTGAACTAATCTATTGTTTACCGATCGGAGTTTTTAAATTCTGAATTCTGCAGCGCCTCAAATTCTATGATTGTTGGATAGTTTCAAAAGATGTTATTATCCTTAAAATATCAATACAAAAAATAATAATTCAAAATGTTTCGCATCAATGATAATATGTTTACTATCTATGACAGTCAATGAATATCATTAATAAAAAACAAATCTATTAATTTAAGTCAAATAAAATATTTTATTGTTCTGAGCAAAAAAAAAGAGAATATTTACAAATTGAATTTATGTACAAAAAGAAAATCTAAAGAGACAAGTTTTTTTATAAATCAGTAAGAAGTTTTCGTCTAACATGTAATTCATTTTGTCCAGTTCTTGGATCAAACTCTCGAGAAAAAGTACAATCGAGTGGTTCAGCTAACATTAATTCACATGTTGTATGAACAGTAAGAGACCGAATTTTACCACCAATTAATGAACCTGTTTCAGAATCAGCAAATGAACCCATTATATTATGAGATTGTTTATCAAATGTTCCACTTAATGATACAATATTATATTCTTTTTTATTTAATTGATGTGAATCTAATGAACATGCTGATAATGTTCCAACACAACTTAAAATAGATAATGATTGGACATCAATATCTTCCATTAATTCATGAATTGTTGAGATTAATTCAACACCAGGGCCAATACGAAGTGGAAAACATCGAATTCGTGTACTTGCTGGAGTTTCTATTTATTTTCATTCATAAATAAGAATTAAGTTAAACTAAATTAAACTTACGACGATAAGTTCGCTGTTGAGGTTTTATTTTGCTTTTAAGCGTCAATATGTTACTTATTGCATTTGTTATCCCAGGCATTTCGATTTCAGCTAATTTTGATTGTTTATGTTTTATTTTCTAAATGTCTATGTTTTAGTGGCTTATAACTACAACTTATATACTGGTTAACGAATCATGCACTTTAGAACGAGACAAAATATCATACAATTTCGTCACGCATCAGCGCATGTACAAACCCTTATACAAATGTGTGTTTTTTTTCCCATAATCAGCAAATATTTATTAACCAACAATAGAAATATATCTTTTGTTGTAGTTTTTTATAAAGATTTATTTAAAAAGAATCTTTTTCTAAAAATTAATCAAATAAGAATCAATATGAAATTCTTTATTTTTTTTTTCAATAATTAAAAATAATATTTTCCCTTGTGATAATTTGATTATATTTTGTTTTTATTTTTTTCTTATGATACACAACAGATAGGTACAATTGACCGAAACTGCTACCTTTGATGACATGATAGCAAAAATCCAAAGGGCAAATGTATTTTGTATAGACAAGTTATATGTTAGACAAAATATTACTTTTTTTGTTTTTTACATCAATAAGCAAGGTGAAGTATTATCTGTTTAGCAATTATAAATTATAACTTTGCAATTTTACAATAAGAACAGTTTACGATGAATTTACTTTTCATTGTAGACATTGAACGAAAATCGTATTTAATTTTTGTTTCATTTATTTTTTATCATTTATGTGTCTGGTCAACAACTGGTACAAGTAATCATAAAAAAAAACCAAATGAGATATACACTTATGAGTGTCATTAAATTATCATAAGAGTAAAGTAAAAAGAAGTGATGCTTTTGATTTAAAGAATAATTAACGAAACGAAAATAAATTGGTAAACGATTGAATTGATATAATTAGTTGATGATTCATTTTGAATATTATTTAGCAAAATTTTGTTGAATAAACTATGCGTTTACTTTATTTTGAACAATAAAAACTGATAAATAAGAGTATAATCAAACAGATTATCATTAATTAATCGATCTTAATCTGTTATTTAAGTTAGTTAAACAATTTTGATAGATTGAAAATTGAATAAATACAGATTTTTTTTTTGTATTCTACTAATTTTCGTCTGAACAAATTTTGTGATTGGTTCAATAAATTGTATTTAAATTCAAGATCAATTTACAATTTTTAACCAATTTAAATGAGATAGATAAATTGAATAAAATAAAAATGACGAACAATACAATTTTCACATATGTAAAATTTTAAATATTAGCATACGTATTTTGAAATAGTTAGATGATTTGTCTTCATTTTTTTATGATAAAATATATTTATTTTTCTATTTGAACAAGTCTAAATAGAATTAATACGTAAAATCAACTGAAACTAGTTATTATCTTAATGACATAAAAGAAAAAACATGATGAAAAGTTCACAAAAATTCTTTGAAGAACTTAAAATATTAATCTAATTGCTCAAAAATGATGAAAAGATTCTAAACGATTTCTATCTTTTAGACAAAGCAAAGTAGTAAAAACACTCATAATTAACAAACTAGTAAATAAATCAGTGCCATTGAGGCATATTTCAATCACTATAATGTGTATATTTTTTAATACGTTAACAATTAATCGGGGTAAAAAGAAGCGAAAAAAAGGCAATGAGATAAAAGACGACATCGCGTGACGAAAATTTTTATTGCAAGATACTTGGGATAAAGAAGTATTAAAGAGAATAGGAAATAAACTGGTTAAAAACAAATTTGAGCAACATGTCCTCTTGATTATGAGAATTAAAAGTATTATATTTAGATTATGTCGCTAAGAAGCATACTTTTTTTTGTTAATCTCAACGGTTTCTTTAGTTATAGAAAACAATATAATCAGTAACAAGCTCAGATCTATTAACTAGAGATTCTCTAATTTTTAATTATTCGATGAAGGATATTGCTCTGGCAAATTGATGTGACTCTCAGCCAGCTTATTTTCATCATTGCAACATGAATTTAATTATTAGAGTTTATCGTTTAACTCTTAGAAAAGTTATTATAAGCAGTGATTTCAGTGAATAAATAACGCTCGACTCTCCCCTTGTCTTTCTCTTCTGTTTAACAATGGTGATATTATTATGGCAGGATGCTAAGACTGCAGATCAACAGTGGTAGTATTACTTTCGGATAACCACATACACATATGCTTTGCTCGATCTCTTTGAACAAAACAGGATGCGTATAAACATGAGCGATGTTGTACGTCAACCAATGATTGAGAAGGATGCTTATTACAACTTTACCAAGAGGTAAATGATCAAATACATGTTACGATAACGGAAATAAGTAGACTAATGGCAACATCTGCTAGTCAGAGCAATATACACCTAACAATCAAATCAGAATGAAAAATTCGAGTAACTCATATCCTCTATGTGCTGCATGGTCAGTCATTACTAACCGGTATTCGATGTTGTCATACTTCCTTAATAAAGAACTATCATACGGAAAATGATCTACTGTATGCTAATGAAAATATCTTTCTTTAAGAAATATATATTTTTTGATAGAATTGAAACGCTACTCTCACTGACTGAAATTATCATTGATCGTAGAAGTATTACAAAGGTTCATGTCAATATCATTTCAACTTTTGATAACATGTGACAGACGAGTATATTGCTTTCTTTCTCGATGAAAGTAAACGTATCAGGTTTCTGTCAGAAATCATCTGATGTCGTATGCCATCATTATGACGGGAGCACTATTGTCTTGAGACAACAATAAAGGATAGCAAGAAAGTTAAGCGCTGTTGTTCGACTTATTCGGTATCGTTTCTTCATCTTTTTCGGCTAAAAGCAAAATCTGCTATCAGTTCTTACTGATTTGAAAGCTGGTACTGGTCTCGTTAGAGCCAAATTCTTTCAAGCGGCTTTTTAGAAATAGATTAGACTAATCCAACTTCACTCGGATCTGTCTGAAAGTTCGTCTTGACATTATAATATCATTGATTTCGATCATCATTCTTGTTTGTTTCGAGTAATAGCAGCCTGTTTCTTTTTGGTAATCAAAACGAAATAAGTATAACATCTTTCTCCGACCGTATAGCATTGCTTCCTATCAGTCACTGATCTGCAGTCAAGTGACATACTTTTCTGTTTGTAAATCAATTACTATTTGAAACAGTGAGAATTTTATAATAGTTTCAATGCGTCAAATACATTCACGTGGTTATATATCAGCGTTTCTGACAAGATGCATGATTCAACAATTGTTGAAACACGAACTTTCGTGACGATTATCTTTTTCAAAAAGAACGTATCATTGTTATACAGGAAAAAAAGAATGATTTATAGTGACGTCTTCAAAGAGTTTCCTATCATTATTTTTTTCGAAGTCCAATAACACCTCCAATCATTTGTACCGTTTCATTTCTCTATGGAATAGTCAATCGAAGATTCAAACGAATAAGACTATGCTAGTGAGATCATTTCATTCTAATATTATGATCTTAAATTGTTTTGCTAAACTGGTGAACGTTTTATAATAAAACTATTCGCAACTGTTATCAATTTGTTATGATTTTCGTTTTATACGGAAGGATATAGTAAATTAGTAGGAATTGCTCTCTCTTTCTTAATCTTTTTGTTTTTTATTTTTTATTTTTTATTTATTGATGTAATGCTTCAGAGTCGAAGACTCCTTCCTCAAACATGACATAAAACTATGACACACTTTTTTCATATACGCATACATTTTTATACCTATAATTATGATTCTAGAAAATTCTGGCTTCTTTCTTTGATAGTGGGGCGGAAGAAGAAGATTAGTATATTGCAGAGTTTTTCCAATATCACCGTTTCGCACTTCTACTATCAAAGAATAGCGAGAATTTTCTAGAATCATTTATAGGTATAAAAATATATGCGAAAAAGTGTGTAATAGTTTTATGTCATGTCTGAAGGAGTCTTCAACTCCGAAATATATCATTTGTAATTAGAAACTATCGTATATAATTAAATATATTCTTGGTTGTAATAATTATATTGCTATTTTATTTAATGGATAGCAAAAAAGAAGAAGGAGAGATCTCAAATTCATTTATTTCACAGAGAAAGAATATATATTTGGAAAAACAAAGATGGTTAACTCTACAAATACAACTATCGAACTATTTTCTGATTTATTGCGAGCTTTGATTATTCTTCCAATAATGAACAAATATGTGCTTCTTATTTTATACATCTGTGGAACTATTGGCTCTCTATTCAATGTTATTATACTTCTTCAAAGACAATATCGTAGTAATCCTTGTTCATTCTATTTTCTCTCGTCATCAATTACCGATTTTTTCATAATGAATGTGATTCTTGTGATGGAACTTATTAAATATTCAAATTCTCAAATCGATGCCTATACTAATTCGTTGCAAGTCTGGTGTAAACTAAACAATTATTCCATATTTCTTTTACCCTGTTTATCATCAACATATATTACTTTAGCAAGTATTGATCGTTTCTGTTCAAGTTCGCATCGTGAAAAACTTCGAAAACTAAGTCAAGTAAAAGTCAGTCGTATTTTAATACCATCGATACTTTTAATATGGATTCTATTCTCGTCACATGTTCTTATTTTATTCGATATTATGCCTATAACGGTAACAAATCCAAAAGGATGTGGAGTACCAACAAATTTCTATATTTTTGCATTGATTATCGATGGATATTTCTTTGCTATATTTAATGGTATTATTGTTCCTCTATTTCTTGCCATCTTTGGTTATTTAATCTATAGTAATATACAACAAAATCGAAGACGAGTTGTTCCAGTGCGGAATGCAAATATGAACAGAACAGTAGGAACAGTAGCGACAACTTTCAACCTAAGGATAAATCGATATAATTTACATGTAATAACTCTAGTTCTAGTACAATCGATAGTGACAATTTTTTTGAATATACCTTACATGGGAATCTATATCAATGGATTCTTTAATAATTTACCTACTAATCAATTGCTTCTTCTGTTCTATATCATATTTACTTATATTGCACATTGGTTTTGGTTTCTAAACTATTGTAAAACGTTTTATCTTAACAGTTTATCAAGTCGAATATTTCGAAGAACTCTGAAACGGAAATTAATCAATCTGATTTATTGGTCAAGAATACCAATTCTATCATGAACATCTTGAAGTATAAAGGCAATTATCGCTAATTAAGTCATAATCTTCACATTATAGCATCATAAAATATTACACTAAAAAAAAGTTAGGAAGATTTTAAGAAGAAACTTCGGATATGACATTTCCTAAATGTCCAATAGCAAATTGTTTGGTGTGGTGGAAGTTCTGAGCTTTACAAAAAAACATTTTAAATAAAAAAGAACTTCAGTATATATTAATAAGTCAAGTCAACTTTGGTCGAAAGTATAAAATGTTGAAAAAAAATTCATAAAAATAAAAAGTAAAATTCTGAAAAAAAACAGAAGAGTGTGGATGTAGTTGTAGGTGAAGAAAAGACCAAAACCCACACCCACACTCATCAAATGTGTTGCTATTTACAGTATTAAACATATTAAATCTATAATACCACTTCATGATCGTTATTCATTAGACTGTTATACATATAAAACTGATGGCTATACACCAAAATATGGAACTAAACAGTAAGTGAATGCTCATCATCATATGATGCGTAACAATTTTATTCAAATAAAAAAGCTAAAAACATGATTTTGCTGATCGATTAAGTTTTTTACTTGATCATATTACTCTTTACTTTGTACAACAATAGTGATCTTTATAGATTATCTCAATATTGTTTATATCATGTATTATTGTTGCTCATGTTTAACTCATGAAGAAAACAATGATATTATGTTTTATATAGGTTTCATATGTAGAAAGTCTTTATATTAATTTAATAACAATTTTTAATATAATTTTTTTGCTTATAATGATTTATTGTTATTCTTTATCTGCGTAATATTTCCATCTTCCAAGAAAAAAAGCAATACGTTCATATTTAGATAGATAAGGTCACTTAAAATTAGTTGATTTATTAGTAAACCTTTACCTATGTGTTTCCTTTCAAATGTGTTCCTTCAATTACTATTTTATTCTAGCCAATATTTAATGAATCTTTCATTTGGACGTACGACTATAGATAAGTTTCATTTCATAGAATGGCTTATTCTATGTTATCATATTAAATAGCATGTATATAAAGTGGACCGCAAAAGTTTAAGACACTTTTATTTTCGAAGTTTTTCATCGAAGATGAGCAGCTAGATCAAATCCAAATAGTGATTTTGACAGTTCTTGAAATTTCCTATCGAATGCAATATGTATCAAATTTTCAAAAAGAATTTTGTGAAGAGAGTTTTTTAGAAAACCGTGCCAGGGGGATTTCAACTCCTAGAAGATTTTGACAGAAAGATTTTTCAATATAAGCATCTCAAAGAGTAGAAAATTCTGAAGTAAATCAAGGATCGCCCAGCTCTCTACGATATTCCCCTTACAAAGTTATAAGTATTAGAAAAAATGAAGAAAACGCGTTTTTCGTCGATTTTTATCAAAACAAGCCCTAAAATTCGATTAAAATCGCGTTTTTTCGTTTTTTTTTCTAATGCTTATAACTTTGTGAGAGAATGTCGTAGGGAGGTGGGCGACCCTTCATTTTGTTGAGAATTTTCTGCTCTCTGATATGCTTATATTGAAAAATCTTTCTGTCAAAATTCTCTAGGAGTTGAAATCCCTCTCCCACGGTTTTTTGAAAAACTCTCTTCACAAAGTTTCTTTTGAAAATTTGATACATATTGTAATCAATAGGAAATTTCAAGAGCTGTCAAAATCACTATTTGTATTTGATCTAGCTACTCATCTTCGATGAAAAACTTCGAAAATAAAAGTGTTTTAAACTTTTGCTGCCCTCTTCATATATATATTTTCTTTTTACAAGAAAAAATACATTTAATAGATAATATTATAGTAAAACACATATTCTACTTTTAGTAAAATTTGATTCTTGTTCATGATGATTTAAATTTGAATTAGAAGAATAGTTCATATGAGAAGATTCAATATTATTATGATTATTTTCATATTTTTCAAATATAATTCTACTTTCTTTATAACATTTTTCTGCTTCATTTGTTTTTGATAAATTTTCATAAAGTTGTCCTAATTTTTGTAATGATAAAGCAAGATTAATATGATCATTTGTTAATAATTGTCGTTGAAGATCAACCATTTTAATTTGATAATTCAATGCTTCTTGAATTGCATTACTCTTAATATAAAAATGAATCATTATATCTAGACATTTAATAGTTCCATATGGATCAGGTGGTATTAAATTTTCATATAAAGATAAAACTTGTTTATAATAATTAATTTTAACAATAGGATCATCATATAGATCAATCATTGTCATAAAGATAGATAATGTCATTGGATGTTTTTCTCCAAGTAAAGTTTTTTTTTCTTGATATTTTTTTTGACAAAATTCAAATGCTTTTTCTAATTGACCTTTCTTTTTATAAATATCAATAATCCATTGAATATCAATTTGAATATTTTTATGATCATTTGATAAAGATTTTTCATCCATATTTAATTGTTTATTAAAAAAATTTAATGCAGAATTTAAATCATTACTAGCTTCATAAACAAGTCCAATATGACCAAAACATCGAGCTATATCATAATGTTCATTAGAATAAATTCTTTTATACATTTCAAGTGCTTTTAAAAGTTCTTCAAGAGATTTTTTTAACATTCCATTAGTTTTATATAATAATCCAATATTTTCAATTGTTTGAGCTTTTTGTAAATGATCATTTCTATAATTAATTTCACTAATAGAAAATGCTTTTTGATAACATGTTAATGCTCGATCATAATATCCTTGATCACAATAAACTTTTCCTAAACTATTTAATATATCAGTTAAAAAATGATGATTTCGTGGTAGAACACATTTATACATATTTAATGCACGTAAGAAATAACTTTGAGCTTTTGGCAATAAATGTTTTTCTTTATAAATTCCACCTATATTTTCAATTGTCATTGCTTTTAATACATGATCTTTTGGATAATTTATTTCATCAATAATTAAAGCTTTTTGACAATAATCAAGTGCTTCATCGAAATTACCTTCATCTTTATAGATTAAACCAATATTATTCAATGATATAGCTATATGTGGATGATTATTTGGTAATTTTTTTTGACGAATTTGATATGCATGTTGATATTTCTCTAGTGCTAATTTTAATTGACCTTTATCCGCCAAGAAATTTCCAATTTGATTGTAAATCGAGGCAATATCTTCATGATCAGATGGTAAAGAATTAAGTAAAATATCAAAATATATTTCTGATTGTTGTAATTGATCAAGTTCAGTAAAAAGATGACCAAAGAATATTAAAAAAGAATTTTCATTTCGAAAATTTTTTATTGATTGAAAATATGTTTGAAATTTATTTCGATAAGTATGATCATTGATAAGATTTATTTTCCATAATTGTAGAGAAGAATCATATTCAATTGAATTTATTTTAAAAACTGTATCAATATTAAATATTAATTCTTGATTTTCATGAATTTCTACGAATGTTATTTCTTGATATGTTGGATTTATTTCAAACTGAAAAAGTATTGATTGATACTCATCAGATAATATTTCACTTTTTGCTAATGCAATGGAATTATTTCTATTAAATGATACTGAAAGAAAACCATTCGGTGTAATGTAATAACCAATGTATTGATTTAATTGATCTAATTGAGTTTTTAATAGTTTTTGTCCATCATATAGTTTTAATATTTGTTTGTTTTGATATTTTTGTTTTTCTAATTGAATTTGATCATAAAGATCAATAATAAAATATTGAAATAAATAAATCAATTGAATATTTTTTGTTCGTAAAATTTGATTTAATATTCTACGAATAAAATATTTCTCATTAAATAATTGAATAGATTTTTCTTTTATATAATCTTTTTTAAATTGATTTATTTCATTTTTATAAAACTTCTTAGATGTTTCAAATATATGATTATTAATTTGTTCATTAACAGGTATTTGTTTAAGTATATCAATAAGAAGTTGATACCAAAGAAATGATGCTGAATCCTTTGATAAATCATTTGTAAAATCTTTATTTTGATTGAATAGATTAAAAGATAAAATTTGTTGTTCGATAATATTTATTATTTGTTCAATTGATTTAATTAATAAATTATAGTCAGAATATATTTGAAGAATTTTTTTATATTCATTCATTAATTTTATTTTTTGTTGTTCATTAATATTTGAACAGAAAATGAATACAGAAATTAATAAAGGATATGAATGAATTTGAGAAAGAATTGTTTGAGCTAAAGTCATTGAAACTATAAGAATTATTTGTTTATCTTTAATTGATTGTATTAATGTTATACATTGATTAAGATCAATAGAAAATTGAATAGTTGAATTTAATTCGACTAATTTTGATTGAATATGAGTAGGACAATTCGAATTATCAAGCCAAATTAATTGTATATTTTCATTATTTTCGTTTGTTTCATTTGAATTAAGATTAGATGAATATTTCGACATATTTCATATATGAATAATTATACTTGATTTATATCATTCGTAATAACAAAATTTTTATTCCTGAAATGCGTTTTATTATTTATTAGAATGAAAGAGAACATGTGACAAAATCAGTTCTTTTTTTTTTGCCAACAACTAAAATTATTTTTTCTCGTTCTGTTTAACAACTGATGTTATTGTTATCCTTCAAATGTTGCTACAACAAAGGTTTTGTAGATTATTCATTTTATTGATTTACTATTAAAAATTCATTATTAAAACTTTCTTAATAAAGATGAAACTTATGTTTAAAATAAAAACATCTATAGCACGAAATTCCATTGGATTAAAACATGAAATGATATTCTAAAAAAAATTTCCATCATGAAACCTAAAAAGATTCTTTCCACGGATATAAACTCTGAACCTTTCTTTAGTTTCGTACGAAAAGCACAAAACCTCCTTCACTTCATGGATGTGTCGAAACCTTTTTGGGTTTGGTACGAAACCAAAGAAAGGTTCCAAGTTTGTATTCATGGGAAGAACCATTTTAGATTTCGTAATAGAAAAATTTTTTAGAGTTACATTGATTTCAAAATAACAACGGCATAGTTGAATTAACAAACAAAACATCGTCCTAAGAAAACAATTAAGAGAATATATACATTATAGGTGTACAACTATGTATAGTCGATTAACAGTAATCTTTGTAAAAGACCTTCGTCACGATTTAATTACACTTCATCGATTCTTTTGTTTTTTGAATACAGAGAGAGATTTTAAAAATGCTTGAGATAACATCTAAACTGATATTTAAATTGTGTTTTATTCTCTTGTCATATTGAACATGAAAATCAAGGATATATATATATATTAACATATAATGTGCGTTGAATATGTGATATAAATCCATGAATTCGTTTATTACTAAATAATAAACTACTTTTATCTACTGTTAGTGATGTTGATTATAGTTTAAGACCTCTCTCAAAAAAGTCACTTTTCGTCAGAATCATCGAAATTGAGATAAATTCATGGCAAAATAGCCCGTCATCTGCTCTTTCGTATGCGACAAAAATTTTTATTCGATACCTCTTTTTTTCATTTTCAGAAAAAATGGAAAATCATTTTTCGATTTTCTCAAAACGTATGTTTGATGGCGCGTTTCCAGTGGCACTCTACCACAACGTGATATAAAGTTAAATTTTTTTTTCTCTTTGAAAGAGCATGTAAAACTACAGTGCCTATGAGAGCCAGTTTTTTTTATTAAACTTTGCTTTTATTATATATATAATTACAGCACTATTTTTAGACAGCTTTTTTGAGTCATTGAACTTTTTCCCTTAAAAAGTAAGAGTTTGAAAAAAAAGGCTCTTGTAGGCACTGCATTCTGACATGCTCTTTCAGACAAAAAAAAAATTATATGTAGTTAGGTCTGACCAAAAGTTCTGAGATTCTTTAAAAAAAATATAAAGAGAAAGTTCGAGTTTTATTTTATTAAATGATCAAAATAGTCACCACGATTATTTATACACAGTTCCATCGTTTCTAATAGTTTGTCAAAATTTTTTTAAAATTCTTCTTCTGGAATATTTTTTATCATCTTGGATACTGCACGAGCCAATTATTGTTCATTTGGTTGGTTAGTTGGATTACGCTTGATGTAATCATTTAGCCAATAATCACATAGTGTAAGATCAGGTGAATATGATGAATGCGGCATTATAATGATACCTTTTTCTGTTAAATAATTAATAACATCGGAATGTGTACGGGGTCGAGCATTGTCCTGAAGCAATTTTATGCTTTTTGTACTTGCTGACTTTCTTTGTTTCCATACTTCCTTGACAACAAGCTTGAAGCAATTTTCAATATAATAGTCGTCATCGATAGTCTTGCCTTTATCAACAGCATGTATAAGAACAGAATCATTTGATTTAAAGAATATAGAAAATAAATTTTTTGATTCAAATTTACTTTGACGAACAACAGTAGTGGGTGATTCACCTTCGCCAATCCAGGATGTGTTTGTTGACTTGTGATGAATCTGCCTATGGTAAATTCACGTCTCATCACCTGTTATAATATCATATGATCGTCAAGAACCACCACGAAATTTTGCTAAATTTGCACGGCAAAGTCTAAGTCGTTCTTGCTTTTGTTCATCATTCCGTTGATAGGGCACCCAACGAGATGTAACTTTTTTCATCTTGAGATAGTTGTGGATAATTCGTTCTATTGTACCATGAGAGAAAGAAATCTCAGCTATAATATCATAACAACTTGAGTGTGGATCATTGCTGATAATCTGTCGCATCAATTCAATATGTTCATGTGCAAGTTCGGATACGGGACGACCAGATCGAGGATCATCATTGTCATCTTCTCTTTCTTCACAGAAACGCTTTGCTCACCTTGTAACTGTTGGATATGATCGAGCACTGGGTCCTGAAGCTGTTACAAGTTCTTCGTGAATTGTCTTTGGATCTGTTTCCAAAATAGTCCGAATTTTTATATAGTATCGATTGAATTCATTATCCATCAAAAAAAATTTTTTTTTAGTTCGAATCAAAGTTTGTTTGAAAAAATATTGTAACTAAGTCCAAAATAGATTTAATATATATATATACTATTATAGACGAGACATTCCACTATTTATTCATACAAAAAAACGCTTCAATGTTGATTGGAATTAAAAAAATGTCGAAGCAAGAATGGCAACTATTGCTTACAGCACGATCCTATGACGAAGCAGCTATATTAGTAAAATCTCAATATAAGGTATGCCAATGTCAACACTCAGATTTAAAGAATCGAACAAAATACAAATTCAAATGCAACGAATATAGAAAATATTCATTATGTTCTTACGAAGTATGTTAATCTTTTTTTCTGATAATAAATTTGGTGATCGAAACACTAATTTTTTGGTGATCATTTCGCAACTAGACAAATTTGGTGAACAAAAAAATGCTATCCCATCATATTTTGCGTTGTTTTTTTTTCTCATACAAGTGGTACGATTTCATTTATACATTACAACATGAAAGATTAACAAATATACATATAAAACATATGAAACAAATTTATTTCAACTGAAAGATCAAGTTTCAATCGAGAATTCTTGATTTTCACCGAACTTTTTATTACTATTGTATAATTAAATATGGAAAATGATTTGTAATAATTTACTAACAATATTTCATTATATTTTAAGATACGCTAAATTTCAGCTATATATAGAAATCTTTAATTCTAAGATAGCAAATTCTTGTAGAAGAAGTAAAATTAAATAATAGAGATCAAATTAAAATATACAAAAGATTATTGATTAATACTTGTATTTTTATCTGAAGGTCTGTCTAAACTTTTTATTAGCCTTACTACTAGATGAATTAGGAAGGTCTATATTTACTTGACTTAATTATCTCGGGTTTCATTGTCTCCATTAGAAATAGATAATCGAATAATTGACAATATGTTATACTTGTTTTATCAATATTTCACTCAGATATATTTAATCATCAATAAAAAAAAAGAATATATTCTTCTCTTTTTTAATATAAATAAAACAAATTTCAGATTTTTTTTATAAACTCTTTGATGTTGAAACCTATCAATTTATGTTTTCGAGGTGTTAATGAGAGACGAAAACTTTTGTATGTGCTACGTGAACTTTCCGTATTTTTGCTCTTTTTTCGACCTTATAGTTCACAAGTTACTCTCTAAATAAAAGAACGAATGCAACAACTATAATCATTAATAATTTTCAAGTTATAACGAATTTTAATAATAAAACTTAATTTCTTAATAAAAAACAATCCTTTCTCAAACGATTAAAATTATTTCTACAGAATTTATGTCAATATAACATTAAAGGATAATTGTCTTGTGATAAATTAAATATATATTTCGAACGGAGAAAAGGTGCGTACCTGCCGAATGATCATCGTAACATTATGTAACGTGTTTTTTTTTATGAAGTGTCCTCATGTCCTTTTGTCTTTGAAAAGCGAAGCATAGAAAAGAATCATCTGTATTAATTGTATCACATATATATATATATAATGACATAAAAAACAACGTATTATATTTACAATGTTTAACGCAAGTGGATCATATCTTGAACCTTTATCTAATGAATTATTACTTGAAATTGTGGAATATTTGGATGTTTATGAACTTTTCACAGCATTTTATGGATTAAATCATCGTTTTAATGATCTTATACGACAATGTTATTTACATGTTCGTTTTGATCCATCAAGAAAAAGCATAGAAACTCGGAATTTAATAACATCTACTATAGATTCTTCACATGTTCGTGAATTATCTTATTATTATGATATATTCATGTTATGACAATTTTCAATTTCAACATATCCTAATCTTCGTTCACTAACTCTTTATAAAATAAGTGGATTTTCTCTTCAAGTAACTCTTGATACTATTCCAACAATTAATTAAATAAAAGATTTACGTATTGAACATCCAAGTTTATTAATTCATTCAAGAGAAGTTACCTATAAAGAATTTTTATTAAAAGATTATCAACATAAATTCAAGTCAATTGCTATTTGTTCCATTTATTTAACTAGAAATCTTTATCTAGTTTCTAATATTTCTACTATTTTTTTTCAATCTTCATCGTATTGCAATTGAAGAATTTTATTGGAGAGAAGATATTATTGAATTTTTACAAAATAATATACTAAATCTTCAATCATTATACATTCATACTTATTCATCTATATTATATCAACAATCATTATCAAAATATGTTTTAAAAAATGTTTTTAAACTTGATATGAATATAAATATTCATTCAATTAATATCAAATGTCTTGGACATATGTTTCCTTCTTTACAACGATTAAGTATTCAATGGGATACTTTTCGACAATATCCATCGATTGATGGTTTTCAATGGTAAGATATTATTCAACAAAGTTGGCTTCTAATGCAAGAATTCACTTTAGATTTTAAACGTACACAAATTAGTAAACAATTTATAAATACATTTTATCAAAATAAATATTGGATATCAAAACAACTCATTCCAACTGTTTGGAAACCTCAGTATAATTCTCATCCAATATTAAAAGTTTTATTTTAATTATAAACAATTATTAATATAATCTTTTATTATGTGATATATTTTCTATTTATTAATAAATACGCATTTAGAATACAAAAGTTTATCAATTGTTGTAAACAAATAAAACAGAAATTTTTATGATTGTACAGTTATATCTTGAAGTACAAGGCGCATAAAAATATTTTTTTAGAGGGATAATGCTATAATTTCATATAACATCAACAACAAATTTTATACCAAATTAAAGCACATCGAAAATGACATTCATCAATAGTAAATAGTAAGCGTTAGGACAAGCTTTCACTATCAAATTCAAGAGTATTCCTAAAAGTTTACAACATGTCAGCAGAGAAAAATTCCTTTCATGAAACAGTTCAAACTACATCTCATTTAAAATGATGAATATCAAAAAGTAATATTTATTTCTTAAGACTTGATGAATATAATCATAATCAATATGATGAATATTAGCGTTTTTACAGCACGAAGATGAGATGGTTACGAACATAAAATAATTTCAAATAGTTCAATATTTGTTTCCATCTTTGTCAAAACATATGAAATATGTTTTCTTAGAGTTTCTTTATCAAAATAATTGTGGCCTATATCTGATAGTCATTCTTTTTTAGCTTCAATTTTGATTATTGTTTCAATATTTCCAGATCAAGTATCCAGTACCATTTCATATTCATCATTTTAAATGAGATGTAGTTTGAACTACTTCATGAGAGGAAATTATTCTCTACTGATATAATGGAAAATTTTAAGAACTTTTTCAATTCGATATTGAAAAGTTATCCGAACGCTTACTATTTACTATTGATGAATCCCATTTTCAACGCGCTTTCATTTCGTATACAATATGATATTGATGTTATTTGAAATCACAGCGTTATTTCTCTGAAAAAATATTTTTATGGACCCTGCACACTGACTTATTAATCATTCTTTTGCTTATACGAGTCAATGTCAAGATAAAATGTAAACCCATATATGTTTTTCTTTGTGTTAGTATAGAGAAAAACATTGACCAGGAATATATAACAAATAACAAGCGGGGCAATAGACAAGTAATCAATACGTCAAAAAAATATTACCTTTGATTTTCTCTCTATTGAAAAAAGTCTCATTAGAACGATGATCACATGTTTAATGATACTAATCATTCGATTGACATATATGTGTGTTTATCAACGTCGGAATAGAAAAAAAAATTTTGTCTATTATTATATGATGCGCAATACCCTATATATAATTATTGCTAAGACTGCATGACATGTGGACCTGTCTACAGAATAAAAAAAAAAGCTTTTTTATGTTCATTAGATCGAAAAAATCAAATAAATTTATTTATAAATGATTGATGAATATTAATCGATATTTCTTTAGAAATTATTTGATTGGAATATTTTTTATTAATAAATTATTTTATTTATCTATCATATCGAAATCAAATAATTTTTTTTTGTTATAAACAAGTAAACAGAAAAAGAATTTTAATTTCTATTGATATATATTTTCTTTTTCAATTTAATAATCAATATCTATGAAAACCAACAAAAACTAAATTCTTAGAAAAAAAAATTGTAGAAAGTCTAATAATGATTGAATAAAATGAATTTTTACGATTCTAATTGAGCAGCTCGATTAGTTGCTGCTGTAACTGTCTCTATTAGAGTTGCCGGAGTAATACCTTTTTCCATAATTTGGTTTAATAGCTAAGACAAGTGGACTACTTTCGTTGACTACTTGTTTATTATCAGCTGTTGTTACAATACCTAATTGAGACTAATCAACATATACATTTAATTGGATTAAAAATATCAACAATAACTTGTTTTGAATGTTCATATATTGGACAAACATATGATTGTCGAACAAATAGTAAATTAAATATAAATAAATGAAAAATATTTGCAATACAAAAAAAAAACAAATCTTATTCCTTTTTCTTTTTTGTTTTTTAAGGTAATCGATAGTTGTACGTGTCTTTCACATTTATTGGATTCAAATCTTTATCAATATTGTTCAAGAATTCATCAACAATGTCTGAATTGTAAACGTGGTTATAATGATGTTACATCTGAACGTGGTCATCATTGTTATAAGTTTGTTTTTCTTTCTATTTTATAATTTTTTATTTTTGTTTTTTTTGAATAAATGTTTTTTTTTCGATAAAGATTATTAGCAACTGATACAACTCAATGTTTTGATTTTGGAAATTCTTTAAAATCATGTTTAAATGGTAATGAAATAATAAGAAGTGATGATAATGGAACAATATCATTGGAAATAACTCCAAGTTATCGTAATCTTAATATTCGGTTAGAAAAAAAAATTAAAAAGACAAATAATAAAAAATAAATTATACTTTTTCTTTTAGAGTTTTAATTGGAATTGAAAATGGTTTTGTTGATGTTATATGTTCAATACGAAATGCTAATTTTATTGTATTAAGGACTTCCCTCAAAATTGATTTCCCACTTGGGATGAATCGTTTGAGCTGAAACTTCCAGGAATGAATGATCCTAGTGAAAAACTTTTGTGGTAAAAATTTCAGCCTGATATGCCTGACTAGACCGAAGTTTGGACTAGTTTTCCGACCTTTCAGGAGAATCGAAATAACTCCGTCATCAGAAGAGATACAGAGCTCGGACTGGTTTTAAATTAAAGCTAGTCTCTGTACGCAACTTTTCATCGAACGGAATTTTGAAACTTCTTTCCATTCATTTTTTACGAACATTTTTTTGGACATGTGTGCAAAACAAGCATAAAAAAATGTCATCCCACGGCATTAAATCCACCTTTTCTCAGCCCTGGAGTCAAGTATCAAAAATTCGTCCGATAAAAACTTAGCCTTGATCGAAAACTGTAAAACGAGAATAACGCTAAAGAAGTTTTTCAGTGTGCGTAAAAATGTTTTTTTCAGGGAAGTGACATTGTTATTTTAAACAACATCAATAAAAAATTTTAAACCAAATTAAAGTGCGTCAAAAATGGGATTTATCAGTGTTAAATAGTAAAAGTTATAGCAACTTTTCGATCATCTTCTGATATTCACGACTGTGAATCAAGCCTAGTTTGAACTGTCTCATCCAAGAAAACTGTCTTTGCCAATATGACGTCAAATTCTAGAAACTTCATGAATTCGATATTGAAAAATTGCTATAACTTTTACTATTTAATACGGATAAATTCTATTTTTGACACGCTTTAATTTGGCATAAAAATTTTTTATTAATGCTATTGAAAATAACAATGTTACCCGCCTGGAAAAACATTTTTATGCACACTGTAGAAATGGATTTTTCATTCAAATACAGAACAAATCATATTACAATGGAATATTTTTAATATATTTCAGTGGACTGTTTGAAAGTGCGTGGTTGATGAAGGTAGCTAACATCATCTGATATGCTGGATAATATAAAAATGTTCTTTTCAATGATAATATAAGTAGCAACACAGTTTTTCCAAAACTGTAAAACTTTAAAAACCACGAAAATTTCTCCGAAAATATGCTAGCAGACTCAAAGTTTCATGTAATAAGTCTTTGAAAATCTGTTCATTTTCCAAAAAGCTATACATATTATGAAAGAAGAAGCCTCGCTGTACCTTTCTACGATAAAAACTCAACTTCGATATTTCCTTGAAAAATTCGATTTTCTAGGAAGTGGAGCCTTAAATAGAAAATTCAGCGATATGACTTATACGTGCCCCAACACGAAATGTTTCAACTTATACAAAGACGTGAGTAATATTTTGATTTTTATTCGATTTATTGAGTTAAATTTTTATTTTAGGCTAAATATAATAATATTTATGCTGCAATTAAAGAAGCTGTCAATGGTTCATTAAAAGGTATTTTGGATTATACTGATGACGAAATTATTTTAATCGATTTCGATGGTAATACACATTCACTAATTTTTGTTATTAAAGTCAATATTTCTCTCAATGATGACTTTTTCAAACTTGTTGCATAGTTAGCTTTTATTTGTTTAATATTTTTTTGTACAAAATACAATAATTTAATTTTTACGTATAATAATCAATATAGTTATTCAAATCGAGTTATTGATGTTATTTAAATATGGTACTCAGAATGATCACAGAACATTAGTTTAAATAATTCTTCAAATGATCATGAACAAACATCAGTTAATTTTATTGAATTTAACTTTCTTTTCGTAGTAAACTTTTTATTCAGTACCTTCTACTGACAGTTTAGGTCTGAATCCAAAACTTCGTAAGTCTATGAGCTCTAGCTAAGAGTCAGAGCCGATTATACGTTGATTATTATATCATCAATATTAAGATTTCATGAGCAATGTATCGGTTGTGGTAGTCACCAACTATAATTTATCGCAAAAAAGTATCTTGTATTTTTGGAACAACCGTCAAAGGTGAGAATGAATAAATTTTATTGAGAACAGTAAGAATACGATTCAGGTTCGGATCTGATTTCCAATATGAAAAATCTTTAGAAATTTATTTTATATATTTCTATATTTAAATAAGAATATAAAAAAAGAGTTTTTTGATTAAACACTACATGGACTAGAACATCGCCAACATCCATTACAATCTTTATCTTCTAAACAAAGAATTTTTCCATTTGATTTTCTTGTATAACACCATTCAGGACCAGTTACAGATGGAAAAGCACCAGCACATCCTGCCCAACAATAACCTTTATAACATCCAAACCATTCTGTACAAGTTTTAGCACCATATGGATTTTGTAATGGAATGTATTTTTGACTTTTATCAATAACTGAATTTATTTGTTCGGTTATTTGATTATTGACTTCAAATATTGTAGAATTTATTAGTTGATATGTTCGTTTTTCAATTTGATTGATTGAACGATTCCCACGATATTCAATTTCATTGAGTAATTCATATGCCCGATGATTGATATGTTCAATAAATAAATAAATAATTATACAAATCACTAATATCAATAGACTTATTTTAATATGTTTCATTATTTATTAGTTGTCCTTGAATAGAAAAGTTCAATGTACTTTTCTATTTATATATAAATGCACTTTTAGCTCATAAATATCTGTTATCAACACACATCTGTGATGATATCATTTTATAACGATATACAATAAAAAAAAAAAGAGTAACCGTGAAGAGAAATAGATATTGTGTATTTGATAATAATCCAATGAGTCATGGTATAAATACACGGATAGATCAATCGTTCGATTATCACTCATTTGGATTTCTTTCTGTAACAAGATTAAACTTAAAATTTTTATATAAAACAATGACTAGAGAAAAATACCATTTAATTATATTTGATTTTCAAAATATTTACTTATGCTAAGATATAAAACAAAAAATATTAAATCGTCTTAACAAAAAGAAGAAAGTTTTTAGTCATGACATAGTCGATCTTATCAATGCTATTTCTCAAGAAAAATGCTTCAAAAAATCAAATAAGATATTTTGAATTTACGATATGACATGAAAATAATTGAACAAAGAAGATTAAATATTCTATAATATAAATCCGCCATCCTAAGTATCAATTCATAATTAGATGCAGCAGAATGTCTTTTTAACCTATGTCAACAAGTCTTATGAAAAAAATGCTATTTTTTACCTACAATTCCCTCTCGCAGTTTGTTAATTTGAGTCAAGGGAAATTTTAATAATGAATTTCCGCCCTTGTTTGATCTTACTTTAAAGTAGAATACATTATTATAAAAAGAATATATTCACTGAAGCAAAAACAAATGAAAGGTAATGAATAAAGTTTAATAAGTCCGCTGTACCACTGACAAACTAATCGATCATTTTTTGCTATTCTAGAGAAAACATGTTCATAATTAAACATTGTTCGATTTCATTCTATGAATCTTTTCGTTAGATTACACAGAAAAAACTTTCATAGAAATAATGAATAGATAAATATTTTGTATATTATTTTCATAGTATTATCGAAATATATTTAGGATGAACGAAGTTATATGTATATAACATCGGCTGATCATAATCAAGCCTCGAAATTGAATCGCTTTTAAATGGCCTGGTTCAATCTAATTTAGAGTGCACAATTAATAGTATATTTATTTGACAAAAAGGATTTCTACACGATTTAACTCAGCAGTCACTGAAATAATTAATGAGAGCATAGTAAAAAATTTATTATCATAGTGATCACAAGTTGAATGACGTCGATCAATTTTAATGCTTGTGTAAAAACAGCATGAGATATAAGACAAATTAACTATTGAAACGAAAGACCAAGATATGCTCGTAGATACTCTAACTTTTTAAAGATTATCATTTATTAGTGTAAACATTCATTACTAAAATGTTCACTGATCGATTTCAATTTTTAGTTACACTGTTAATACTGTTCTAATTCAGTAATATCCATGTCATTTTATGCAGTTGATAGTGCAGGCAATCTTTTTCATAGATGAGAAACATCATTGAACCAAATAAATGTTTTGCTTTTATTTATTGGCTAAATGAAACTTTCAAAACGTTTGTATAACAAAGATGTCTGACTGTTATCAGTTAGGAAGTGCAAAGCACATCTAAGAAATTTTAACAAAAAAATCGATGACTTTTTCAAGTAAAAAGCGGTTCAAATGCCGCTTTTTAATTCTGATTTTTCAACTTTAAAGATAGATTTCAATCGTAGTGACTAGATGATCTTTATAACTTCCTACACGGTTGTTAGAACCACAGTTACAGATCGTCACCAGGATCATAGTTACCATAAGATACTATGTTACAGATAGATCAGCGGACAGATGCAGGCAAATTTCCGTTTCTACACTTTCTACCCTTGCAATTTAGAGCATAAGTAAGAACATTTTCTCGTGATTAATTAACCTTGATAAATAGTTACTGTCTATTTGAGATTTATCACATGACATATTTTGTATTATATTGTGTAAAAGAAAGCTGAACAAGATATGCAGAATCTACATTCCAGAAATCTCTATCAGCATATCCCACTTATCCTATTGGAAGTGAAAACATAATTGTACTGGTCTTAGCTTGAAATTCAGAAAAAAGAACATATTTTATAAGCGTTCTATCTGATGATTTATGAAAGTTTTTTCACAAATAGATGCATAAAGATCTTCTTTATGAAACTAAAGTATTTGAAGTATCAGTATCCAAAATCCTAATTGTTAACAAATTCTTTTTGGATAGTTATAATAAAACAATTTGTAAACATTTAATTCCATGTTGGCAAATGTGTAATCTCAGATAAATCTACTAAATTCAGTAAAACCAAAAAAAGAAAAAAAAATATATATATGAAATTACAATACTTTCAGCTAATTTTACCCTAGACAATATTTCATAGATCCAACTCAACAATAGTAGAGATTTTCCTTTCTTTTATGAGAGAAACAAATAATAGTAGGATTGTGAATTCATCCTAAGTGAGGAAATAGATTATTCTGATTTTGAAAAACTAATTATACAGATAATTAAAGAGAAATTTTCTCTACATGGCTTTTGAAGAAAATATTTTTAGAAAATTGAAAACTAAAAAAGGAATGTATACGCTAGACAAAAAAAAAACATGTTTGTTTCATTATACCATTATCTCATCTGACTCTATTACATTCTTTTTCATATTAAGACTCTCATGAACAGAGAAAATCTTCCAAATAAAATGACTTTAAAAATGATTCCAATCTCAACTTCTAAAAACGTCTTGAATCAAAAGATAAAACTGAATAATTGAGATTCAATAGTCAACAAACAAAAAAGAAAGTTTCTATGTGATACGCCTTCCAGTTGCAATATGCTCACGAGTTATTTAACCCTCGAACGCTGTCTGTGTGTCCAATCGGACCCACAACGTTGCTTCTTGACTTTTGCTACGTTAATATTTATCCTTTTCCATTTGATCTTTATTCTAATCGTTAGTCTTCTAATGGTGCATAGAAGCTATGTCAAGTTTCATGAATAGGTCTTACAGGAAAAAACTGAAGGGTGGGTTAGCATGGACCCCCTGACACCCTTCGTGTTATAAGAATAAGTTTTAATCTTATAAGACCTGTCATCTGTCGTTTTGAATAGTTATTTATCAGAAGATTCGTTAATGTGTGATTACCAATAGTGATTCATATATTTTTGTACCTTTATTTGACAAACTGTTTTAGATTTTGATGGGACTATGTCTTCCATCACTCCTGACAATGACGACTATCCTTCGTTTCTCTTCCTTGAAAATAAGCTAAACTTGATAACTATAAAGTTCTCTAAACATAGTAAGTTCAACACTTTCTTGATTTTTCAGATAAGAAATTACCACTAAAACAAATCTAAAGAATTCGAGAGATTATTACTACAAATAATATTGATGAATTTGACACCAACATTTCTGAGGATGATGAATCGAATTCTGATTCAGATTATCTTTCTGAAACAGGATCTGAATCTGACGACACATCCACTGATGAATGTATTTCCAAAGAAGATGAGTCATCCGATTAGAATGTCAGTTTCTAGTGCTATTTTAACTTCGTAATGCTATCACAATCTCTTCTTAAAAAATATCTCTTGAAATGCGAACGTTTCATACATTTGAACTCATGCTAGCGTATTAATCCCTGAAGAAAATCATGGTAGAGATCTCCACTCACCCATAGCTACCATAAAACAGACAAAAATTCAAGTTTTCCTTACTAATTATTATGTGGGTTCGACCGGACCCATATACACCCTTTGTGTGAAAAAATGAGGACACCGCTCGAGGGTTAAAGCAATGATGAAATCTCACAAACTTGTTTTTTTTTTCATGATAAAGTGAGTTTTAAATGTTACAGATTAGTTTTAATTAAATATTCAGAAAATATCTTCAAAGAAAATAAATATTTGATATATCGACATAATTTCTTTTTTTTTCTATGAAATAACATGAATATTTATTCACAAAAATAGATAATTATCTACTTTATATTTCATTCATTCAAAGGTACGCTTTAATTTAAACAATGACTAATTCTGTTGAATAGGTCTTCTAATTTAATGCATTTTCGTCGTCTGAGAACAATCAGAAATTATCATATCATTTTTTTTACATATTACAGACATTAAATATTTTTTATTTTATTTTTTCAAACAAAAATATAGAGTTATGCAACTAAAGTATTGCTTTTTATGCGACAATAACAACACGAACATTTACCACAAAATAATATTGATTTGAATACATTAGTTTTTATTGTTGCTAGATAAATAATTGGATTTAAAATCATTGAAATTTTAGCAGTAAATGCACATACTGTCATGAATATAGATTGTTGACTAATATATTTTACATTAAATAAATAAAATAAAGCCACAATAGCATATGGTGTCCAACTAAGTAAATATTCACTAACTAAAAATATTGTTGCCAATGCAAAACGTCGATCAGCTTTTAAACGATTTAATCGCATTAGATAATCCATTTCCAACATATGTGTTGTTCGAGGAATAGTTAATCGAGTAGTTCTATTTATTGAATTTGGTACTCTAATAAAACTATGTTTTTTATATTTTATTGTTGACTTAGTTTTTGACGATAAACTATATGAAGATGTTTGATGTTTTTGATAAAATATATTTAATAGAACATTAGATTGTGCTACTTTTGCATCATAAAGTAAAGATCGAATTTTACAATAAATATATATATTAATAATTAATAATAAAATTAATGGAATAAAATAAATAAATGTAAAAGCTAAAATAAAATAAATACGTGAACTAAATGATCGATCAAACCAATTTAATCCACAATGAAAACCAATTCCTTCAGGTATATATTTATTCCAATTAAACAATGGTGGCAATGCAAAAATAAGACTAAATAACCAACAAATAATAATTGTCCAATATGAATGTTGACCAATAAATAGATTTAATGTATTTGTTTCAAAAACTGTAGCATAACGAATAAATGATATCATCATTAATGTAAACATATGAACACAACCATTTAAATATGAAACAAAACCTTCAAATTGACAATAAAATGATGAACATAATCGATGACAAAATAAACATTGAATAAATATTGATGGTGTCATCACAATAGTTTCTGATATTGATGAGAAAATCATTGATAATATTAATGAATAATGACGAGTGTGAAGATTTCGATGATATAATGACCAATAAATAAAACGAATATTAAATATTATTGAAATTATTGATACAAATATTAAAATTGATCCTATTATACGACTAATTAAACATTCGAAATTATTTACTTGACGAAATAAAATATCAACGCATAAGGTCAAATTTGAAGCCATTATCTATAAGCAAATGGCAGTAAATATAAAACGTATCTGTTTATATTTATAGATGGATTTTCTTCTAGAAAAAGATAAGACAACTTCTCTCTATTATTTATGCTTAAAATAACATCCTAGGTATTAGAATAATGCTATTATCAACTAAATACACGCTTACATATTTAATTGTTCAATTTGAAAAAAATGCATCTACTCACATAGATGACTGACAAACAAAAGACATGAGATAATTATCATTTGTCATGAATTCCTATTCAATAAAATGCCTGTTTTTTAGATAAACAAAAAGATTATTTCTATACGAAATACCTTCATGGATTATAAATTTATTGTTATTCAGATAGTATTAATTTCTTCCTGACTAATATATATTTAGTTAGATAGTATAATTGATGTAAAAGAAATGTTTTCATGCATAAACATTTAATGTTTTTAACATAAAATGAAATAAATTCTTTCTTTTAATAAATTATAATGGAAATAAATGATGTGTTAAATGAGAAAAATTCTTGTTTTACATCTATAACAGTTTTTTTTCAACTAATGAGTCTTTTTTTTTATGATTTTATACATTTTCTCATTCAGCTATTTTAAGTATGATAATATTCTATAATCTTTTTTGTATCCTTAATACTGAAAATCTCCTTTCGATTTTTTTTCTTGTTATTAATTCAATATAATGTTATAGATTTAAATCAAGATTACCTTAACAATTTTTCATAAAACTCTATTTTGTTTTAAATAGACACTCTATAAATTGCATAATGAGCTTAAATTTTGTAAAGAATTATTAATGAACCTAGAATATTGATAATACGGGAAAGAGGAATGATTACGATCTAAAAAGGTATTTTGAAGTCCATTAAAGGTTATATCGACTGATTTTTGAGCATTTCCTATTGAAAAGAAAATATTTCGAAAATGAGAGTCGATCACGTCCAGATCATGAACGTCAATATATAATAAACTTTATAGTTTGATAAGTTATGATATATAGTAAATCCAAAGGTTTTCTGTCCGGAATTCACTTGCATAAAGAAAATAGTAAAATATTTATTTTATTCTAACTGAATAATAAAATAAAAAGAACGACACATATATACGATGAAAAAGACTCTTTTTTTTCTATTTTCATCCTCTTTTTTTTGAATACCGAGAATAATTTCTATGCAAAACTTGATTACTAAGAAAGATTATTAAACATCGTATAATATTGAAGTTTGATATTATAAACTAGTTCATTCTTACGTCGAACTAATTCCTTTTTTATATGTAGTTTTGTTCTAGTTTTTGTCTTGTATACTATTTCACTTTTGTTCTTTTACTAAGAGGATAAAATATGATAATAACATAGCTATAAGTTTTCTC